TTTGCATGTGCCCTCTTTATTCTTCCGAGGCGTACTCATGCCACCATGCTTCCATATTGTCGTGTTGGTTTGTATATTCCGCCAAGTCGCCAAAGTTTATTTGGTAATGTTGAGCAATCTGATAATCAGCAGTGTGTGATGTTGAGCAAGGTGATGAGGGAAATATATAGAAATGTCATGGGTGCAGTGCGACCCTACATACAAAACAACGATTTGCTGAGTAAAAGCCCCATGTGTTCAGGACATTTCACGCATATATACAAGTCGATCAAATGCAACTTCAATACTAGCATGGGAGGCCTGAGAAGGCGCCACAGCCAATGCCAAATCTCACAATGAAGAAGATTGTGGCTCGGCTCAACCTTCAAACACCAAAATCACTGACCTGCACACATGGTCTCATTCACAAAGGAAGCCAACTTGCAAATTTGATCAAGAGGCAACATGAGGATGATCAAGGTCCATCAGCGCGTGGACTTCGTTCATCAGCAGTTCAGTCCTGAATCCGAAATGGCTCATGTTTCAAACTAGTTCTGCTATCGTACTCGCACCGCTTGCTTGGCTCAATGTGGCAGTCATCAACATCCAGTGCATCCGCTTGGGAAAAGGCACACATGGTATGTGGACAAAACCACATGTCTCTGCACCCTTTGAAACCAAATGGAGTCACCAGAGTCACCAAAAGCTCTAGTTGCGCGGCCAACCGTCTTGATCGTCGTTGATTCTCTACGTGCAAATGACCCACTGACAACCTATCAACACAATATGTTCAAACTGTATCAAGCTGTAGGCTTTCAATATGTTCTTCATATCCAGATGGGAAACGGGATCCCTTTGGACCAGCCAAGGGGCACTTTAGGATCACCCGCCTTTGGAACTTTTTTCACCTCGGTCGGCGTGTTTTCTTCGGGGTTTGGTGAACTGAACGGGGAACGAAAGAACTGCCAACATGAAGTTGATTGGCTGGTTACCGTACAAGCCACACTCATTATTATACTGTATCCGATATTCTATTGATTTTCTCCTGGTTGAATATAGGGCCCACATAGGCCACAAATACTTGCCACAGTTTCATGCAGTTTCCCAGTGTGTTCCAATTGTTCCATGCTAGTCATGCTAGTGTCTCGTAGAAGTATCAAAGAACTTGAAGTTGGCTGGTCGGCTGTACTCCACTATACTTGCCACTGTGCTTCCGTTGGCAATTCCCTCATAGATGATGCTTTGCGCCGTTCTAGTCAATGCAAGATTTTAGTCAATGCAAGATTTGATTGCGCTCTTGCTGCCAGAGCTTCCTCTTCCGAAAGTTTTGCACATTGGTGGAAGGAAAGGATCTTATATTATAGTACAACTGGGAGAAAGGATGCAATGCATCGGGGTCCTGCATGTGGGTTGTCACGAGTCATGTGTGTCACTTTGCTCTTGTCAAGCAACGGCAAGTATGTGCCATCCTGCTGGCGTCGGCCCTTGTATAACATTGGGTCACGCAAGCAGCACCCCAAGCTCAAAAGGACTAGATTCAACGATATCGTTGAATGTTGTTGGATGGTCAGAGCTTGGCTGCATCTTTACATTGCTCCGATGGTCTAGCAGGGCCACAACGGTGTGGTCTTGAAGCAAGCAGTGCCTCCTGCAACGCAAAAAGCCGGTTGTTTGGTTGAGGTTCCCGGCGGCAAACTTGAAGTCCAAGGTCTGCCATATGCAAGTGTTCCAGCCGGACATGGTCCTTTCTTTGGTCCAACGTCAAGTGTCTGGATAGATTTGGAGAACAATGAAAGATACGAATCAGCACAAGACCTATAGGACCTAGCGCCCCATCTGTAAACGTGCTTTTTGGGAGGATGAACTCCTATGACCACCGGCTGCTCGGAAACCCAAACACCTTGTGCTTGGCCAAGTAGATGGTCCCAAAGGACCCGAAACCGAGCTCCTGCGGTCTTGTCCGGCGGAAAAAACACCCATGCACCATTCGAATCTCAACTCGAGCGACTCGAGCCACCCAATCCAAACGAAACCCTGACATCTGAAGCCACGGATCCGAATGGATCCGAAAAGCAAGGCAAACGAGTTGAGCAACAAACACCTACAAGAAGCTCAATCTAGCTATGCAAACAAACAGGCCAATGGGCCATTTATTTTTGTGTTGAATGCCTGGTTATCCGGGTCAATTCGCCGGCTTCTTGATTCTACCAACACCATTAAAGCGGCAAAGGCAGCGTGTATATATATATATATAATATCTACATGCAAAATATAGACACAGGTTCCTGGAGAATGAATCTCAACATTCTATCAAAGTCTCAATTTGAGGGGATGATATCTTATCCACCTGTCTGATGCAAGGAATGTCAACCAACATCAGTAGGGAGGAGGCTGATTCAAGAGTGAGCTTTTTGGAAAGTGTTTTCGACGCGGTCGGAATGCTTTGGTATCGAGGGGTAGTACCAGTAGGCATCCAGGCCCTTGCTCTCCATTTTGAATAGGCACCAAGTATTGATCTGTTCATCCTCCGGCTTGATACAAATCCTCGTAAGAAAAATCAAGGCTATTTCTGCTTTGATACCAAGAGAGTTAGTATTGAATCATATTGAATCCATTCCACTGTGGGGCCAGTAACCCCACGTCGCCCATCGCGTCACCCAAGCAAGAAAAAAACAAAGAAAATCGGACTTCCCTAGTCCCCAGTCCTTCTCGAGGATGTAGTAGTCTTCCAGTCGCCCGTTGCTCAAGCATTTATAGATGAAGTCTGTGTGCTTGATGAGGCCTCACAACAGCCGCTCCATGAGATCAGCCCTTTTTGGTTGGACAGGTCATGACAGGTCCTAATGACTCCTTGTCAAAGGCCCCAAATGAAGAATCGAACTGCTCAAATCTTGAGTCATCCACTACCTATTCACATATAGTCATATAGTTGTACTATTGTGCTCTATGTAATCATGTGTCTGTCAATCTGTGTTCTACTAACATACATGTCACCCCACCTGCTGCCCAGAAGAAGCAAGCTTGAAAGCACAAATTACAAACTACAAGGTTGCACACGCGCATAGATTCATCAAAGAGTTATCACCAGAAGCCCAGAAGCCTATGAAACATTGGGGACTTTCAACAAACGGCCAAAGTTTAGCGATAAACGACCAAGCTTACCAGTGTCTCGGTGCTCTCAAAAATGCAAACCTGCAATTTTGAGGATCCCGCAAATTAAGACAGCCGTCATCCGAGCGCATCTGGTGTCTTGGCTCTCCAGCGGTTCCGGAGCTGCTTCTTTTCACCTTCTCGAGGACCCCTGGCGGTTCCGGGGTGATTTGGCGCCGGTCAAACCCGCATCAACTGTGGCATTGATTCATGGTCTTCAGATCGATCACAGAGTGCCACAACTAAGCGAAGTAAACCTCAGTAATCCAGGAATCTCATATGCCCCAAGATAAACTTTCAAATGATAATTTCGACTGCAAATAGCTAAACGGCAGTAGATCAGGGGTCGACAAGCAGCGTGACGTTCACACTTCAGAGGGCATTGCAAAGCACAATGTGTCAAGACCTGTAGCTCAATCCAAAGTAAGTAGTACTGTAATGAAGGCATCATAAACAGTATAAAATATCTGTGCTTTTGCTTTTGGGATCTTTTGGTTTCGCTGCTCTAAGGGCTCCAAGCCCCAAGCAAGGCCTGTGATTCTACAAGCAAAAGTGAGACCAAACACGCAAAAGAAGAGACTACAGATCGAAATTCCAAACACACGTAATGCACAACATAAACCGCACATAAACCAAGAAAGATGCAAAATGAAAAACAAAGGCATACACAAAAAAGTAGAAAAGCAAGGGAGGCAAATCAAATCACAGAATCACCTTGAAGCACATCTCTATATATTACATATTCATGGCAATTCCAAGTTGCTTCATGCCTCTCCATGTTTCCAGGCACCTGGTTTGCTTCCAAGAGAACAACCCATGTCCTTTCACGGAAACACACGTCACACCCTCAATCGATCCCTCCTCAGTCGTCGAAAAGTCTGTCGCCCCTCGCTGTGGGCTGACCTGGCAAAGGCTGATTGACGCCATGTTTCTGCGTGTGGACATGGTGGACAATTTCCAGGAAGCTCTGCTGGAAAGGTGCTCACACACACAATTCTGAAATGGATACTGTACTTTACGCGCCGGATACTGTCTTTGGATTCTGGCCATTCTAGTCTTTTGTTTGTGATTTAAGCGTAGTTGAGCCCACAGCCTTTGCCACTGCCATGTACTGGCAACCGCAGCAGCGAGGGGGGGCCAGCAGCGCCCTCGTCGCATGCATGGCAAAGATAGTGTGTGGCATCGCATTCGCGATGCGAAAAGCTGAATGCCAAGCCCGAAACGACGCAAGGAGTCCCGAAGGTACTAGGGACCCAAAAGAGTTACACATACACAACGTACTGCTGGGGAGAGACACCATGGAGACTCGGGATCCATTTTGAGGGAAAGAAAAAAAGGAGAGGAAACATGAACCGGAATTAATGCAATCGCCCGTGTTTCAGCTCGTAGTTGAGGTAAAGCCGATATCTTGTCGTTTTACCTCGCCACAAGGGGTTGAAAGATGTTGAAAGGCCCTTCAGATTCAATCATGTTCAACTTCTGTATGACTTTGCAATTCTGTTAATGTTCATAATCCTAGAGTTGGCTGGTTTAGGTTGTGCAATGCAATTACTGTATATAATATATAAGAAGGCCGCCCTTCGGCGGATGCCTCCAGTCTTCAGCTGCCCAATGGCTGCGGTGCATAGAGTTGGGAAGCAACACCCATTCGATGCGATGGGGGCAAAGGAGGCTACTACTCCACGGCAAACCATTGAAGTGTCTCTGCAGTGCTGCTTGGTTGAAAGCAGCCTGTGTACGTTTTTGAAGGCATTACGTCAAATCTGTGGCTTGCCTACAGAAATATCTGTTCACCGTCCCAATATGCCACGGAAGGACGCCCTGAATGAACTGGTCCGTCGACAAGAACCTCATGCGGTGAGGGAAGGCACCGCCCAACGGTTCCTCAACTCGTCCCAAAGGTCCTTGTCCTGAGCTCTGTGCTGAGCCGAAGAATTTCCCACTTTGGAATACGTGAGGGGTGTTTAATGGCCATACTACATGTTCTTATGTGTGTATGTTTATGAAGAGTTTGGAGGCATGTCTGCGACAACGAGTCTATAGTGTTGCCAATGCTTTGCTACCTTGCACCTTGCATGTGTAGCTGCATAGCATAACAGTCTAGATATGCCTGGGATTGAACAAACTACAATTATATTCCACCAAGCGGACAGATTCCTAAACACCACCCAAGGAAAAATTTGTGCTTTGCATGCACCACTTTGCCAAAGAAAGGGGAAATGAACAGTTTTGGCAGCTTTGGTTTCTGGCAAGACCCCAAGTTTGATGAATTTGACCCAGATCAGCTGCAGGTTGTCATCTGCTGTTTGGATCGGGAATGTCAAAAAAAATCAAAACATTGATAAACGTGGTCCATCAACTTCATAGGCTACTAGCCACGTCAGTGAACGCTCAGAGCCATCCTGGGTGCTGAACCATCATCCAACCAAGGCCAGGGAAGAAGTCCTCATGATTGTTCAGATTGCGGAAGCCCCTTGGCCCTTTTGTCCAGGCAAAAGTAGGTTGCTGAAAGATATGACAGGGTTGGGGAAAGCCAAGTCTCTCATTCCTTATGGAAGATGCCTGATTAAGGATCTGACTGTGCGGAATGCAGCCTTTGGATCCAGAACCAAGTTGTGATAGCCTCATTCTGTATGGATCAGGAGCAGTAACATGTTCAGTTCATGTGTCCACTCAGCATGTTTTCCTTTGCAGCTAGGGTTACAGCTGAACTGTGGAACTTAGTGAATGAACACTTGAAGCAGTTGTGTCTGCTGAACCACAACACAAAGCACTTCACGCACCGTAAGACTACCTTTCATGTTTCAGACACTTCAACGAAAACCTCTTGGAAAATCATCACTGGGCGCGGGCCGTTGTCGTTCCATGCGCTCACGCAGAACAAGTCCTTGTCATTGCCTCAGCACGGCTAAAAATCCATCGACACTGGAGGAATCTAATTGGCTTTGTGGTGATCCAAATGAAGATGATGTTGCAATTTCACCACGTGATACTACGTGGAGTCATTTGGACACTATGAAACATATTGCGGTCAGTGCAAGAGCATTTGTGGTGCCTCATCTTTGCATAAGCTTTAGGATGAGAACTTGCATGGATTGTTTGCGACGACCACCTCAGCAACAGGGGCCGTGCGCAAAATCGGCCTCATCGCTTCGAAGTACCTGCAGCGGTGGCGGTGGCCGTGGCAGAAAAACATCGTCACCGAGTCGTCGATATGTCAAGGGGGATTTTTGCAATTTGGCGTCGAACATCACCCTTTCAGTGTCTGAGGCGTCGTGTCTGACACGTCCAAGAGCACATTCCGAGACATTGTGTCTGAGACCTGACTCTCCGAGACATTATAATCTCCGAGACCGAGACGCTTGTTGCCAGAGTTGGAAGGACGCATTGAATACCTGCGCTGCAAAAAGACTCCACCACCAGGCGCTTCCTCTTCCTCTTCGTCTGGCGCTGCTTCCTCAGGTGCTTCCACTTCCTCTTTGTCAGCCACTCACCTTCTGCATCTCCTCTCGCCATCACTGCAACTTCTTCTATGGCTTTTGGTGCACCCTTTTTGCTTGTGAAAAGGGGGCCTAGGCTGCTTTTTGCAGCTGCTGCTGCTCTTGCAGCTGCTGGCCCTTTGCTCGCTAGCATCTTTGATCCTCACAGCGCAAGGTCAACTCCATCCACTGCTGACCATGAAAAGACAGCCTGAAAAACTCCACAGGCCACCGCTTTAAAGCAACTCCAAAAACCACAGCTTGCTTCGCAAGCAGAGGTTGTAGTGGTAGTGGTAGTAGTAGTCGTCGTAGTAGCAGCAGCAGCAGGAGTAGTAGTAGTAGTAGTAGTTCATCAGCTCAATATTTCAGATCAGTGCTCATCATCTCAGCTTTTGAAATCGAACAGTCAACCACTGTGATTCCAATGTTTCAGTTGAGTGTGAGTGGATCTGCAGCTAAAGCCCTAATGTTAATAGGGCTTAGGGCTTTTAGGGCTTGGCTTTGAACATTATATAATTAGTTTCATGTCCGAGACCTCACTGTCCGAGACATTAGTATCCAAGGCCTCACTCTCCGCGACATTAGTGTCCGAGAGACCTCACTGTCCGACACGTTAATGTCCAAGACCTCACTGTCTGGGAGATCAATGTCCGAGACCTCACTCTCCGAGACATTAATGTCCGAGAGACCTCTATGTCGAAAAGCTCCATGTCACTGAAAAGAAGGCCCATTTATCCCAGTGTCTGAAGGGTGGATATTTGACACCAAAAGAGGGGGATATTTGACAAAGTTATAAAGTGTAGCCTGTGCATCAAATCATGCACAAAAAATTGCTTGATCAAAGAAAATACAGTATTGGATGGTGCCCCTCAATCTAGAGAAAACATCTGCAACTTCTTCAGGGTCGCTGGCTTCCACGCAAGCCTTAAGATGCATGATGCGATTGAAAAGAAGAGCACGGTCGGGAACAAAATCGAACGTTCACTCTCGTCTTGTGACCTGCAACATGACAACAAGGGCCAACACAAGAGACTGGATTGAAGATATCAAACGAGAGCAACATTCGTGAGTGCTTTGCATGATAGCCCGCCACCAGAAACATCTTTCATGACTCGCACGCCTACGAACTAGTTGGGACAAGTGAGACCAAAGCAACTGCTTTGCCAGTTTGCAGCATGCTTGCAGCTTGGGCCTACGCAGGAGGGCTTTACCGGTGACTCCCAAGAAATCATCTGAGATCTGTTGTGGTACAAAAAGGCCTTTTGGGGGACCAAAGTTGCCCTCTGAAACCTATATAATACTTAATTAAGTAGGCGTAGCAATATGACGGCCTGAGCCACGATGCTCCAGCACGTCTTTGTGGGACTCTCCCATGTTCTGCTGGGAACGCCTCTAGGTGAGAGCACCTCCCCAAAACACAGTCACCGGTAGTTTGAGTCTTCAGAGCAGCCACACACACACATGAAAATGAGCTCAACATGTCCTGCTTCACAAGGATTGCGCAATACGCCAATGCAATAGGATAATTTAAGTTTATCTTTTCCCGAATATGCCCGAATAGCTCCAGAGCAAAAAACAAAGACTGCCAAGATCCGCCAAGCATGCTGGCAGGAAAAAAAGACTTGTCGGTTGCCTTTGGCAGCGACATGCCCAGGACTACTTCTGAACTGCGAATATGTGTAAGAATTCTACCTTTAGCCTAAACGTATACCCCAACAACACTCACCTTTTTTCCTTGTTAAGGCTTCAGCACCTGCCACAAGGATCTCCGGTTCTGGTTCATCCTATGAACAGGAAAAGTTAAACTTGATGCAGCTTTCTTTGCGCCCAAACCTGCAATTGTCCGTGGCTAACTCATAGCTTTATATTATATTCAACTCTTGGTCATATTCCAGAGTAATTCGTTGCAGCACCAAATCCAAAGGTTGACTCCTTCTAGCCATCAAATATCCGCAGCTCAATTGCAATGTACAGCAAAGATACTCAGCTGTTGCTAGTTTTGTTCTTTCGTGATCGTCTTGGAAGACTTCAACCTGAGGGACGCGGCATCTTCAATCATGCAATTGGCTGAAAACAAGCACTGCTTTTGAAGAACAAATCGGACAACCTGCTTTGCATTCAGTTGAAACATTCCACTCAGGAGCGATTGATTCAAGGATTCAAGATTAACTGGCGTGTTCTACTCCTCTCCCAGTGATGCATCCTGAACAAATCATAGTCATAGTCATAGCCCATGCGTGCTTCGTTCCCAACGTGCCAAACGGCTGTAACACTGCAGCCACATGAAAGCTGTCGTGCTCTCCGTATTCTACCCTATGTCTGTTCAAGCACAAAAGCATTGAAAAGAGGAAACATTGGCTCTTGGAAGGGTGTAGCTGACTACTTATTGGTGGGCAGGGAATGCCAAATTTTTATGTGCAGCATTGCATCCTTTTTGGCTTGCAAACTTCCTCTGTGACAATCAATGGCTGCACTAACTTGTAGAGACCTTCACCTGCCATAGAAGGACTGCCACCTTGCCAACAACATCATATGCCACTCGAGCCTAATGAATGTTCACCAAGCAACCGTGGGTGTGACATGGACACTGTCTTCAGCACATCTTGAGGCGTCACACTTGAGAGCGTTCTGTCCCTCGGAAGTGAGTAGTTTTCCGAAGTCGTCGCCGTGCTTTGATGCATGACACCGTTGGCCCCTTGTTGCTTTTGACTTTGCAATCACAGTTGCGATGGCCAAGTTTGTGTTTAAACATGTTCAAACCACAAAATGTCCACTCTCTCTCAGACTAACATAGTCATATATAGTCATAGTATGTCATAGTCACCTCCTACCAGTATGTTGCTTTCGGGGCAACCTGCTGCTCAATCGAACTTGCCTGTTTGGAACCAATCTAGTGTGAACATTCCCAGTGCCAATGAGTGAACATGTTCAAGTCAATTGAAATCTCAAGAGGTGCGCAGTGAAACATTGTTTTCAAGAGGAAATTTAAACCGAGGATGCCCACCCAGGTGTGTGGTAGAAACTTCAAGTGCACTTTGGAAAAGACACCCATCGGTGTCATCCGAGGAAAGCTTGCACCTTGGAACTGTGGCACCCGGTCTGAACCGCTGGGTCCTTCTGAATGGGAGGCTTTGTACAGTAGGGTGATGCAGAATTTGGTTCAGCAATGGCAGGGTAGCTATCCCCCACTCAGAAAAGCTGGAGCCGCCATCGCATGGGGCCACCAGCGGCCCCTTGCCCCAGAAAATGCTTGACCTCGCAGAACAAATAATAGGGACGACTGCCTGATCTCATGGCTGTCTATTCACAGCGCCGGCTTTCTCACGAAACTGGACAACCCGTGCACTTGACATGGCTATATACATCAACTTGAAGTTTGGCGACTTTGTTGCGTTGGCGCCACTCCAAAAAAGAAGGCAAATCGTAGCAATCAAACATGTAGCAATCAAAGTGTGGAATGACACCGTTGGCGCCAAGCCACCTCAAGAGCAGCAAGTCATCAGAATTCTGAATCTCGATCGAGTGAAATGCGGACAGGATCACCTCCCACAGGGGTTCGCCCTTCCACTAGCGTTCTTCCACTAGCCTTCTATATAGACCTACTGTCGTCTTTCCGAAGCTTACTTGTGAACCTGCATCATGGAACCAAATAGATACTTGTGTTGCAGGGGAATTAGGTTCGATAGTTTTTATAATTTGTTCTGACTCGAGTCCCCACGGTAGCCGCACCGTTCGAGCCCTGCGTTGCTGCACATCCTCCGGCTTGTTGTTGGCCATACAAATACCTGACAAGTGCCACCACTTCGAGTCTGTTGTAGGCCCTTGTTACTAGTAGCTTCTGGCTACTAGTAGTTATGCCAGGAGCTACTAGTAGCGATGCCCTAAAGCGCCCCCTAAAGCCCTTCAAGTTGCATCCATACGTGAATTCAATTGAATTCCATTTCCCCTGGCAGCATGGCCGCCTTATCCTTTCCTGGACCCCACAACATGTTCACGTCAGCATTCGACAGTATGTGTCGTTGCGTTTTTGTTGTTTTCGCTGTAGAAATGACTGCCCGAATGGGAGCAAGTACAAGATCGAGTAGTTTACAGTTTAAACCTCGATTGCCTTCATTAATCGAGTCGTGTATGTCAGGACAAGGAGACTGTACGTGTTGTCTGAACTCTATATATAGATCACGTGTCAACACAGCTGGCATGGAAAAACATAGACCTGATATGAATCAGGAATACCTGCCACTCTTATGATTGTAAACGTCTGTGTTTAGCTTTGCCTTCGAGGGAGCAACCTGTTTCAAGGCTTTGACCATCATGTGTCATACTGACGGGCGATGAAGGCCTCTGAAATGCACAAAGTCCTTGAGCGTTTGCAAAACTGCCTGGCATTTCACAAGCAGCTGCCAGGAAGATTCAGCAAAATTTGGAGAACTGCATTTTGCTTCATTCCGGAGTCTGCCTGGCAGTGAACCTAAAAATTCCAGCACCCTGTCAAAAAAAATACATATATATATATATATATATATACAGTAATATATGCAAACACAATGCAGCATACGCCTAGACAATGGACCCAACAGTAATGTTATGTTTTCAAGCAACGTGCAGAATGTTCATGAGTCTATCCAGAATCAGCACGAGAACCTACGTGAACCTACCAAGGTCAGTAGGATGCCACACTGTCGTTGGCAACAACCACTCCTAGTCCTAGAATGTCGTAGAGCAACAGCTCCACAGCCCTGTTGGGTCCCCAAATCAATCTTCAGAACACGGTCTGAGCTGCCTAGGATCACCTAGTGTGATGGCGATCTGTTTGCATCAGGATGGTTTCTTGTATTATGTATGTATGCATGTATGTATATACATGAATATATATATATATACACCAATATCCCTTGTGTGTGTGTTGTAGTTCCGGCAGTCAGGAAGTGCCTCTTGCATCGCTTGGTTGTAAAAGCGCATGAAGGGCTTGTGCAAGACCTGGAAAATGGGCAGACAACATCGGGACCGGACCCCCAAAGTGTTGCTGCGCAAAAAGACCATGTGGAGAGTGCCACCGCACACTAAACCTCTCTTGGCTATGGACAATGGGCTGCATAATGGTGGCATGGATAAGCTGTTCGTCTATGAACCTCCAACATGTTTAAATTGCTCTTGTAAAATCTTGTAAATCAACCCAGCTGACAACCCCAATAGCAAAGCATCCACCAAGATTTAGCACCATTTTTTGCGTGTGTTGTTCGTTGCGTTGTTCTTTCACATCAAATTTCAAGGACTATTCTTTAAACACACAAAAGGCGAAATGAAATCCAATAGTCTATACGCAAAATTACGCAAACAAATTCAATATCCAAGTTACTATGCTCCATAGACCACGAAGCACTTAAGGAATGTTCGCCGATGTCAGAATTGTATGTTCAAGTGCTCAAGTGACAAGTGTTTGTGAATGCTGTGTACGCCTGAAGAACATTGAAGAACCATTTCTACACGGTCAAAGCAAAAATCGCACCAAGAAGAGGTGTGTGCATGCAAAAACTGTTATGCACACATTTCTGACATATGCGTGCAAGTTTGATTCGCACAAGGAATGTAAGGAATAAAAACTATACTGAGGATAACAAGATGTTATCACTCTATATCCGCCGACCCCGCCGTAGCAAGGGGGAGCGCGCCAGAGATTACGGGTAGCTGTTTGGGGAAAGCTGTGGCGGGGTCAGGTGTTCGGGGAGTTAGACGCGGCGTTTGGTAGCGAGAGTACCCTCTAAATGAAGGTTGATGCTGGCGTGACCAGGTATTCGTGGCGGGCCAGGTGTTCG